CACATACACTCACACACAAACACACACACACACACACACACACACACACACCACACACACATACCACACACACATGCCACACACACACACCACACAAACACACACACAAAACGCATTAAACTATATGGAAAAATTGTGGACTACTTAAATTGTTGCAAGTGTGTGTGCTAATGTATTTGTAGAAAAAATGTAAGTGGATACTAATTTTATTTTCTATTATTATTTAATAAGTAAACTTGACTTAATATTTGCGTACTTCTATAATTGCTCAATTGCTTATTCACAAACATAACAATTCGATTTAGATCTGAAGTTTGAAATCGTTTGGAAAATTGTGCGTAGTGTACTTAAAAGGCGTTATTACTAATTGCTGCCTCCGTAGTTATGAAGTTTATGATTGTAATATATTATTTATAGACAGCTTTTCGGAAAACGTATTTATTTAAAATCGGCCGAGTTACACGCTTTATGTTTATCGTAAACTGCGAAATCCTACACAGCTGGCTGATTAGTAATGTGCTTGGAATTTCATCAAATCTGTCAGTCATTGCGAAGTATATCTTGCGTTCTCTTCAACCATAACGATCTTTTAAAGGTTGTTTTGTTTATAAATCAGAATTTTCAAAATAGATCTGACTGATGCCTGTCCAATATATCTTATTAGTTGAAATGGAAAGAAAAAGTATTTTCCTAATTTCGAGTATTGAATAAAATAAGTACAGGGCGCTTTACAAGTCTAGTGTGAAAAAAAAACCTCTTTCGTTAACAAAAATTTTTAGGCTCTAAAGCATTTTTAAGTTAAAAGAGATGCAAATGTAAACTCTAAAACCATGCATGAAGAAACTGTAGTAGATGCTTCTGTTATTACCATTTGTTCATGCAACTGTAATGAAAACTATATTTAATCGTGTAAAAAGAGTGTTAATATGTATTTTATAAAAATTTCACAGCAAACGGGCCTGTCAAAAAAAGTTGCACTAGTTTAAAATGCGATAAAATCCAAACAAATATGAAATTTAAGGGAGTGCGATTACGAAATGCTTACGATCTAACGCAGGAAGTGGGGGCTGAAGAGTCATATAAAGGCAGCCATTAGTTTCATAGATCGTATCGGAGCGGATCGGACGCTGTAGGTAAACGCCTTTAGTGCTAAAACACTCGTTGTATAAAATTAACTGTAATTTGTACTTCTTTAAAATTTATATTCGAATAAGTACGTTTAATTGATTGTTTATTACGTATAACTGCAATTTTCGTTTTTCTTAAAAATATTGGCAATTAATTTGAAATTCGTTTAGATCCTTCTTAGGTCAATGCAATTACCCATTCATCGATTATTATTGTTCCTTAGAATTACCTAAAACACAGTTGATTACGAATATAAAAGTTAAGTCCCTAATTGTGGCTTGAAACGACAGGAAACGCATCAATTTAGAATAAATAACGATTGCACGTTTAACGATTTCCTTGATCTCCATCTGTTTCTGTTACAAAACGCCCATCAGTTGTTATGATGATTTTATCAATTATTTTCGTCCGCCAAATCGGATAATTGACCGTATCCACTGCGGATAAAGGATTAGGTCATAGTGAACATGGCGCAGTGCTTCCCACTTCTCACCGACATTACTATTTCTATCTATTAATAGACTTCATTATTTCATCCGTTTTTATTTTATTGCATTTCTTTGCGGGCTCAGAATGAAAAATATTTGCTCCGTATTTCGGTGAAAATTACGCACAGATTTTTGCTCTTCAAATTGCTACGCTTTGTTCGAAAACATACCAGTTCGTTTTAGATTTCAGCACCCAAAATACGAACCTTGCAATATCTGCAATATTAAGTCAATAACAAATGAAGACAGTGATAACAATAATTGATAATTTAATAAAGAACTGTGCCATAACAATTGGTCAATTAAAAATTAAGTGCGACAACTGTGGATAATTATTTTGTTGAGTTAATTTCATAAAAGGAAATAAAAAGTGGATAAAGAAACTCTATTTCAAAAACGCATCAGAAATCATTCCATTGGATAATTAGGGATTTGGGATGGAAATTGACCTTCCAAGAACGTACAACGCTTTTGGATACGAAAATAGCGTTTTGTATGCCAATAATTTGCCGGTTAAAACTGAATTTTGTGCATTTTTTGTAATATAAGTACATATAATGATACTATACTTTTTTATCTTCAGAATAAAACACGCTTATCAAGGTGCATGTAAAAACGATGTGTGTTGCTTTTTTTTTTATTTTAATTCTTAAATTGTTTTATTAAATACACAGGTAAGTGGTAAGTAGTTATGAGTAAATGTTTTTGTAAGTTTACTTGGTGTTATTATCTGCAATGTTATCAATAGGTACCACAGCTTATCATATTAATTTGCGGTTTTTACACTTTTCATTTTTTTTGTCTTGCATATATTTTCCATTTGAACTCTAATTATATTGGATTAGTTCGTCGATCAAATACTTATAAAACTACAGCTTTTGTTCATTTTTCTGTGAGAAGGTAGGTAAGGTGGAAATTTTCTATGCAAAGGTTTTTCTTGTAGGTATACATCTACTTGCTATGATGGGGTTCTAAAGTGGTTTTTCATTCGGTAATTTGTTTAAATATAGTTTCCCAAACAAAATAATTGAAAATAAAACGTAATAACATATGCTACTAGTTGAAAATATTAAAAAATAAAACGCTAATACTTGAAAATACTTCAAAACAATATCCTAATAAATATTATAAAATACCGGCGGTTCTATCTATGGATTTGCAAATGCAATTTCAAAAGTAAAGAGAAGAGTGTGTTCTTAATTTCCATTGTTTCCAACCAATGGTGCAATGTAAAGATTGATATTTTTCCCCAATTTTTTGTTGCTTCTTTGTATCTAGTTATATTTCTCTTTACCAACTTTCAGGTGAGAAATTAAGAAGTTAACAGAATAATATGTCTTCAGAACCATCTAAATACAATTTATTTGTACGGCGCTAATTATTTATGTAAAAAAATTGGGGTCAAATTTCATTTCAGAAATAATAAATCTACAAATATTGTCTATTTTAACGCGAAGCCATAAAATATCATTTCGTCTGAGACATCAGAAACATGGCTTTTAGATATTTATTTGTGTGAAAGGTGTTTCTTTCATAACGAATAAAGCATTTTGTGTTAAAGCTGGTTCGAGTACTAACCGCCCTCCATACGACATGAATGCTTCTGACACTTTTCTGCTTGGATTAACTTCTGAACCGAATGACACCCGTTAATCCGTGACATCGTCCTGCCTTCTGCTACAATATTCGTAATTGTGTCTCGTAGAATATAAAGCTTTTTTATTGTATTCCAGTCTTTTTTTCGGCAGCTCAAAATTCCTACGACGATTACGTCCCTTCATGCTTATAAGTATGTCAATATTCAAACGTATGTATCTACTTTTATTTTGAAAGATTGTACAAAACAGTAAAATAATTGTATTCTTTTCGTTGAGTTTTAAACTCTATCAATTGATATTTTGGGAACTGGGACAAACCAGTTTTATACTAGGAAATACTAGTTAATCCTATCGATCGCTTTGAATAGAGTGAATATAAGCAATAACTACAGTAGAACCTTGATAACTTAAACCTCTATAAACTCATAAGATTTTTTGTTTCCTTCCCCTCGGAGTCCAAAACCTCTATTACTTAAAATAAAAACCCTCTATAACTAAAACGAATAATTTGGGCATCGCACCTCAGTAAGCAGTGAAAAGTGGTTTGAATCGGGAGAAAGTCTTCTATGTAAAAGACAAAGAAAAAAAAAACATTAGTGTTAGTGGACCTATACTAAAGGAAAAAGCTGAAAAGTTTGCTAAGTCACTGGAAATCCATAATCATAAAGCTTAAACTTAAACCCTTAGTAGAACAAATAGAAAAGCTCAAACCCCAACGCCAAAACACGACACTGTAGTTGTCTGAAGCACCTTTCGGTAACAAGGTTACCTTCTTCAGAAACTGAAGGACTCAGTTCACTTAGGCTATCTTCTTCAGGGACTGAAGGACTCAGTTCACTTGTGTTTTGGCATTGGGGTTTGAGTTATTTTATTTGTTATATAACAACCGCCAAAGTTTTTCCAATTTTCATATTTAAACCCTTAGTAAGTAAAAACCTCAATAACTCAAATTATTTTACGTTTCCCTCGGTCTTTATCTTATCGAGGTTCTACAGTATTAAGTTTGCATGGTGCATGGTGCACATACGTTTCAGCCTCTTTGTGTATTGAAATATGAGACAGTGCAAAATACAGATGTGAATAATAATTTGTTCTCACGTGATAACTTTACTATGGTTAGTTTTGATGCAAACCAAAAGTTTTCGGTGAGTAAATTACCGCTAAAACAAATGCAGTTGCATGCAGGACAATGCTCGTTTCTATGAGCAGTTCCAAGAACACAAATATTTACATGTGTGTCCACAATAACAACGTGTATAATAATTATATAGGTAGTCGAATGGTGTTCGTACACACTATACATTCAACTAATGACAACGAGCAAGGTGCCTAGCTTTAAACCAGAATCATACGTTTCATTATAACGATCAGCGATCGGAACGCGTAAGTATACCTACCATGCAAGCTCGACAAACTTTGATGTTATCTGTGCCCGCGGTGCCGACTACTTTGTGCTATTTGAAAGAATAAATAAAATATATGCAGCAACACGAACTGAAATGCATGTTTCTACGATTCTCTTTCATATTCCATTAGTTATTAGTGGTTTCTCTTATCTGATGGGTTCCTTTTTGCAGTGGAACATGCTCAGTGATTGTTGTAACTTATGAAAAACATCAAAGCGATATTCCGAGAGGAAGAGGAAGAAGAAAGTAAGTAGTAGTAAGGAGCAATCACAAAATAGTAATATTCTATATATTTCTAGAAAACTATCATGCTTTAAAAACTACTCTAGAAAGAGTAGGTAAGTTTGTAACGTAATTTTGTGAAGTTGAAATAGTTCATGATAGTAATGAGAAGAATTGGTCTTGATTTTGCAGTCTTGATCGTGGCCTTGTAAAAATGCAAGACCAACACTGTCTTTACACCAGCAAGATCAAGATCAACATCAAATTAGAATTATTAAGAAAAACGTAAACATAGGATTAAATGACTAAGAATTAACACACAAGACCAAGAATAAGACCATATCAATAAGACGAAGACCAAGACCGAATAAGCAAGACCAATACCAATACCAAGAGCTGGGACAGTCTTGGCCTTGATCCTCCTTTGCTCATCACTAGTTCATGCTAGGATTCTCTGGATTCAGTTGACTATTAGAACATCTTATAAATAAGAGAATTAAACCAATTGTAGATATAAATAAATAAGTTACGCAAGGATATGCTATTCGCAAAAAGACAACCCTATACGCTGTTAGCACCGAACTTCACCCCCTTTTCGCATTTATGTTCTTGAACAAACAGAATAGCTCAAAACCCCAACGCCAAAACACGACACTGTAGTTGTCTGAAGTGAACTCTTCACTTTAGTCCCTGAAGAAGGTAACTTTGTTACCGAAAAGTGCTTCGGACAACTACGGTGTCGTGTTTTGGCGTTGGGGTTTTGAGCTATTCTGTTTGTTCTGCAACAACCGCCAAAGTTTTTCCAATCTTCATATTTATGTTCTTCTTAATATTTTACTGACAATAATAATACGCCCCAATAGTATACTTATCTAAATCAATAATAAAATGAATGTCATTGATTTAAAAGTCAAAATTTCCTTGACTGTTTTTAATTTGCAAAAAACCAGATCAGTTGCTATGAATAATTTATCACAAATATACTGAAAACCGAGCCCTATTTACTAATTATTATTATTATCATTATATCAACATTTCACTTATATATATTCACTTATATACGTATGCATATTTTGAGAGTGCATCTAATCTTCCTGATTCTCCATGTCTGATGTCTCAGAGTTTTCTTCCGTAGGCAAAATTTCTTCATCATTTTCTTCTTCTTTGTCTGATGCTGTCTTTGTAGTCTCGTGGCCAAAATCGTCATAAATATCTCGTTCCATATAAGATCTCTTCTCAGTCATCTCTTCACACGGTTTGAAGGTGTGGTAGTACCTATCCTTGAGCTCAGTGTCTCCTGAGTCAGGACACAGTTTAGCCCAGTTTGCTGATGTAGCTGGCAGTTGCGTGATACGAATGTTTTCTACAAACAAGGAACTTTGACAAACAAGTTCAGGACAAACTTTGATACCTGTTTTCACCCATTTCATCTGGACTTCTTTAAATGAAGTAATTTGTGGAGGATCTCCGTAAATCAGCAACTCTTTCTTTTCTCCTTTAGAAAATGTCTGAGATTTTCTATGTAAATACGACGAACCATTTACCACATCTATGCTATTTCCTTTGAAGAGGACTTCAATATATCCCGATAGATGTTCACTAGCGCGCGTGAAATTGCTGAGTCTCATCACGAGTTTATACGGAATGACACAATATGGCCTTATACCATTGGTAAGCAAATAAAGACCTTTGTCCTGTTGTTGCGCATTACTTTCGTAACTATCTAAGCTAAAAACACCGGTACTTTCACAAGAACATGCACCCTCAGTGAATGTATTGAAATCCTCGCAACTAAATCCTATGAATTTACAGTTTGTGACTTCTATACTCTCAATGTAATATTTAAATGAACGTTTGTGACTGCAACCAGGTAGGATTTGACCTTGTTTTAAATTATTTCGTTCAACCGCTACAAGGTTCAAATTTGAACTTGAGTCATTGCAACCAGGCTGTCTATGGGGCCCATTTACAAAAAAATCTCTGTGTCCCAGATGATCACAAGTTCCTTGACTGTCTGTACTGTAATAGTCCGTATGAATCACCTCGATGTACGTCGCATCGGAAGGATCCAGTCTGACGAAGTTAGGCATTCCTTCGAAATAAGGACCGGACGGATCAAGACCGGTAATTTTTTTGATTTGTTTTGCACTTTCGCCTACATATCCTGCGATGTGGGCGCCTACACCGTGGCCTATAATGTGGATTTTTTCTCCGCCCATTCCGAACTTAGATTTGATACAATTTAAAAGAGCAATAATTTCTAGAGCTACAACTCTAGCATTAGCAACGGCTTGTTCATACGGTGGCTCTGCACCACTCTGCCAATCTACTGCTATTACATTTCTTTTGTGATCACTAAGAATCGATGCTGAAATGTGTTTGATCCAACCGGTATAACCGTTGCTGGTGAAGTCATGAATTAAGATGATGATGTCGGATTTTCCATCAAATCTCGATTTTTCCAGAGATTGTCCTTTGGACGAGATGATCTCAAAATCTAAATGATGCCTGTCTTTTTGAACGCCATTAGGAAGTGTGTACAATACAAATTCCGTCCTTATTACAAATCGACTGAGGGGTTCTACGTTAATTGGTCGATAGTCGTCGTGGTACCATTGCTGGGTCACCTCTATGCAACCGAGATCGCCGTAACATGTTTCGAATGAAGTGGGTTCATTCCTTTTCGGAAAAAGCTGCAAAATTTTGTTATTTATGTTCGGAATAGAACAAACAATTTTCATTAGAGCGAGAAATAAATAAAAAGCTATTATCATTTAGTCATTAACCTCATTAGATGACATCTGTCACTTAATGGAGACTTTTCAAAATATGTCTTACGTAGCAGCATCCTTTTGTGATTAGTGTTGACACTACAAAAAATCAAAATAGGAGTTGACGATTCTTTTTCATAATATACACCACACAATTGAATTTGACACACATGGATTGAAGTTTTATGCCACTTCTACTTATTTTAGTGTTTATTGAACAAGTACAAGTAAATTGGTTATCAAATTTAGCCGCTTCTGATCTCTAAAGTTGAATTAAGTTTATTTAAATATGCAAATCTTGCAGCTCTCTGTTTGCCTTGAAATTTGCGAAATTATATATAAGATTTTATCATTCAATATTCATGAAGACAACGTTCTTATGCTAAAATAATCTGTTTGAATGCTTCATAATTGTACTTTTTACTTTTAATAAGTCATAAATTTACGAAAAAGTGACCGGTACCGACATTTCCGTCAACTCTTGGCAAAGAAATGTTCTTATTTAAAATAATTATTGTTACATTCCACCTGCCTCAGTTAACAATAATGTAGCCGCTTTTAAACTTCTAATTGACAGAATCTGTTGAAACATTTTTGCATGTCCGCGTGGGGCAAGAGGCAAACGTGATGTTGTCGTGCAAAGCAATATGCAAAATTCTTTTTCTGTGTTACTTTAAAATTTCAGCGACGAAAACGAACAGGTGATGCACTAACACCTGGTGGAATATTTGATGCACATTTTGATGATTATTAAATTCTTCAAGATTTGTCTTGTCTGAAATGGCTTCATTTCACCTGTATAAGAACCTATATAAAATGTGAGTATTTTTGTCTTGTGGGACGAATTAACGATTTTAAGGAGAGGAAATGCCAATTAATTAAGTTTTGCACAAAATAATTCGAAGTGGTCTGTATTCTGTCGAAACTGCCAGACGCGGATCGCGATTTCGATCTTTTTGGATCTCATCAGCGCGTCGCAGGCAGCTACGACAGAACACAGACCAACCTTTACCTGCTGTCTTAACAGCGCGTTTTAGAAAATACCACAAATGGCGTGGTGAGCGCCATCTGTAGTACGATGCTACATTTTAGGATTACGTATGCTCCAACAAGGTCCATTTAAATATATTGATATCTACTTGCTGAAACGAATCCTGGCGTAATTTATAATATTATTCATTGCATTTGCTATTACTTGTGTAAGATTGTAGTTTCTACAAAAACATAAAATACTTTTGAAATTTAATGTTTCCAAGTATTATAGATATATAGATACGTAAAGAATACCTGTATAATATAATTTTACTAAACAATATCTACCAATAGTTTCATTCTAAACTAAATGGATGGATTTTCAGAGAAATCTTTAGAAGGTTAAAATAATAAAACTCAAATAAATGAAAAAAAATGTTAAAGATTTCTAACTTGCGGATAATAAAACCATTTTTACATCAAGTCTGTTATTTGATGGACAGGAAATGTATTATAAATCGATGTTTTAATGCTAATTGAACTACAGCCAACTTCTAGCTTTTTAGTATTAGTATGTTACTATTATGATAGTCATAATTACAGGCGGCATTTTCTTTCAATTAATATAATTGCGCGTTTTCTAGGCAATTTACCAAAGGAAACTGCTTAAAATTAATAATTGCACACGAAAGCAACGTCGAGTGTGTGTTATAACAAGCAAAAATGACTGTTTCACAAACCCAACTAATTGTCAATTTATTTCTAAAATGTTACCCGACAGCTTGACTGCATTTCAAGGATGCAGGTCCTTAGACCTCCCGTACAGGAGTCGGACATTGTAATTACGTAGTTTTTATTCGTTATACAGATAAAGACGTTCGGTTAATGATCTTATCTTATCTCTTTGCAGATCGTCGTGCGAAATTTAAAAAAAATTCGAAATTGCTACATCCGTTGTTCAACTTTAGACTTTACATTTAATACTTTAAATCTTCTACTACATGGAGTAGAGTTTTAGTCTCGATGTTTTTAGGAGGGATGATCCTGAAATGTGCATTAAGTTCCTCGTTTTTAGATTGTGAAATTTACGAATTCAAAATTAGTAATATTTTTATTGATATACCACTTTAAGGTAAATTTGTTAAGTGGGAGAATCACAGGTGGGAATCTTCTTGATAGAAGTTGAATATTTAACTTGATTTTAACAGTTGCAATTAACTGAAGCATCACTAGTTCTGTATGGGAACTTACAACAGCTAACTATGTGAATACATGAATATTTTCATCTACCACTTTGGGTACTACCCGTAGGTACAATTGCACAGTTGGTTCGTCCTGGTCATACATAACAGACCTTGGCTGACTATAGATCCTGCCTATATCAAAAACTCAAAAATTAATACATTTTAAAATAATAATAAGATAACTGCAATTTGCAGGTTTAATTGAATAATTAAAGACAGTTCTTCTGGACACTGGGATCACCGAATTGAGAACCAACAGGACTTGCCATTATCACTTCTATTGGTTGTACCCAAAATTGAGAGTGATGTTGTCTTTAGTGTTTTAGCTGGACCATAATTCCTTAAAACTGTCAGTTGTGTAAGTCGATTATTTTCGGTATATAAGAAGTCAAGTACTTTAGAATGGATGGAGTAGTAAAGATATAAACGAAAGGATAGCGCAAGGTCGAATTGCCTTTAAGAAAAATAAGTTAAAGGTGTGTGTCTGGAGCAGGGCTTTGTAGGTACGTAGACGGTGAGCGCGGTGGAAAAGAAAGGGTTAGAAACTTTCTTTGGTGTTACAAGGAAATTATGAGGATAGAGGTTAGAAACGAGCAGGTACCAGAAAGAGTAGGATAACAGAGGGCGCTATGGAAGTTAATAAGAAATAACCGAGATAGACTGGCAGGTCACCTTTTCAGGCAAGAAGGGTTAGTTAGAGACATATTAGAAGCCCAAACATGAGTTAAGAGGCGATTAGTTTACTGTTCACATATAGTTAAGGATATGAGCTGTTCTAGTTTAAGGAAATGAGAAATGTGGAGGTGCGTGTCCAACCAGCCTTAACATTAATGACCCTGTGATGATGATGATGATAATAATGAAAAATAAGCGAATATACCTTACGATCAGGTTAGATAACGTTGGGTGTTTCTATGAATAGCCAAATGGATGATGAGCCATTACGCACTGAAACGTTGAATAAATATTTGTGCAAATGAAAGGTAAATGTTATTCACAAAAAAAGTTGTTCCATATGTTAGAACATGTTACCTAGCTTTGAATACTAACTTAACAAGTAGGTACCTAAATATTCAGGTAATGTAATCTTTTGCAAAATGTCATAGGATTGACAACGAATGGAGTATTGTTTTCTTTTCAATTAACAATCTGTTTCTACTTATCGCTGTATGAATAGCTTCCCCTTTTCAACATCTGTCACCAGTAATACAACATTTTTTCGAATTTTAGGTAAATATTGTATATACAATTTTGCGCATTTTTCTGGGGGCCAGTACCTAATCTAGTTACAAATTTACAACTGAGACCATCATATGCCATGTTTTAGTGCAACATATGTTATACAAATTTTTCAAATGTTTCTTATTTTTTATGATTTTGTAACTGTAAACTTTTGTGTCAATTTATGTTTGGCCTATAGCAGATATTTGTAATCGTTTTCTTCATCATTCAAATTAAATCTGATTGTAACTATACCACAATATAGTAGTCCTACCACTGATGATGCTCTCTTCATAATAAATATTTTATCATAATTGATTAAATAAGTATTACGCATCTTAAGAATACCTAAGAAACTTGCTTAACTATACGACCTCCACAAAGATTAATAAAGAGGCAAAATTGGTTTATTTTGTTTATTTGTATGCAAGGGTTAATCTTTAGAATTAGTGAATCGATTCCAAAAAATCTTTTATTAATCGAGAAACTGTACTACCCTTGAGTAATAAAGGCTATATTTTAATTTTATTGATGAGAAAGTACAACATAAAAATATTCCGCGTACAAACTGAAATCCTGAATAAGCTCGAACTAGCAGCTAGGCAGGATCTCAAAATTTTCCAAGGTAGGCTCAGCCTAGTATACTATTGGTCCTTTGTTCAACTATCCTCTGTCCCAGTCTGTCATGCATGGGAACCTTGTCATGACTATTAAAGAAGGAAAGAATATATTAAAGTTGTTTCAAATAATTTATAAGAAGTGCCAAACTAAGCTCAACGTGATAGGCACGTTACCATAATCGAATAAAATAATTCGAAGTGATTACGTAATCCTAAAATGTAGCATCATACTACAGATGGCGTTTACCGCGCCATTTGTAGTATTTTCTATAACGCGCTGTTAAGACAGCAGGTAAAAGTTGGTCTGTGTTCTGTCGGACCTGCCTGCGACGCGCTGATGAGATCCAAAAAGATCGAAATCGCGATCCGCATCTGGCAGTTTCGACAGAATACAGCACTTAGAATTATTTTATTTGTACCAAAACTGTATTTTATTGTCGACCGTCTCTACAGAAATAACATCAGAAGTTTCCATATGCTATACGATCTTCTTTTTGGGTTTTTACCTAAAAGAACGCCACTGATTGAGGGAAAACTACAACGCTTGAACATGCAGTTTCAGAAGGAATAGAGGCAGCAGCAAAATGTAAGCGTTCAAGCCGTTTGTGCTTGGGGCGACGCATTAATGAGAGGTCTTTGAAGGAGCGTGGCACTGGCTGGGTCTTCACTTGTTCGGTACAGAAGATGTTCTTATTGTAGCTACTACATTGTGTAGGAACAGCGGCGATGTTCAGCGTAGTTTTTGTAACTTTGCGGTACAAGGCGCGCATTTAATTTCGCCCCGAGCGATACTGTTTGTTTATCAATACTCGAAATACATCCGGGGGTCGTTAGCGCGCCAACACATCGGCGTCGCATTCGGCCGACGTCTCCACCGACGTCGGTACTGGCTTCGTCCAAGCCGCCGGGCTTGTTCTCGTTGTTATTTCTATAGAGTGGTTTGCAACGTGGTGTTTTGCATTT